GAGGGATTCAAGGAAAAAGTTGTAATTGCAACTTGCGAAAGAAATACCTATTTTTTTTCTCTCTATTTGTTGCTTTGCTGCAAGTTTCCAATAAGTAGAACGCAATTTCGCGTCGTATATAAAAAAAAATCACCATTTATTTTTACGTCATTTACACGAAACCGTGAACTCTGACCGAAAATCGCGTAGTTGTTGCATAAGTGTAAACGGGTTCGTTGCCGAACCACCTGTCTCGATCGCCGGATTTGTTTTTTGTTGTTGTTTGTTTCCTCTCTTCGCCTTGTTTCTTGTATTCATTTATGCTGTTCTTCGGATATTTTACAAGAAGATCGAAATCGAAAACCAGTCATTCTTTAACTCACGATTTTTCAATTTATACGCCAGAATCCTAAATCGCCGTACTTTCATTCACGAGATTCGTAAATGCATGATTTAATAATAATTTTTTGCATAACCGCTTTATTTTTAGAAAACGACCGTCTCTTATTTAACTGTAGTTCTGCAAGGTTCTGGCCTCGGTCCAATTTTCCACCGACACTCTGATCCTAAGATAATTAATTACAGAAATTATTATCGGTACTAATTAACTTGATATTAATTAATAATTTATGTTTACTTAAATTAATTTATTCAAAGATTTCTCACATCTTACGCAATTTAAACACTTAACAAATGTAATTTTATTTTATGGTCAAAAGTCAATTGCAAGTAAATCGTTTAACAAACTCCATCGAAGTAGATTTTTTCTTAACAAATATGCACTTACTTCATAATTTACATATCTTTATATAGAAGGGACAACTATAAAAGTAGATTTTTTCTTAAGATATATACACTTACTTCATAACTTACATATCTTTATATAGAAGGGACAACTAGAAGTAGATTTTTTCTTAAGATATATGCACTTACATCATAATTTACATATCTTTATAATGAAGGGACAACTAGAAGTAGACTTTTTTTCTTAAGATATATGCACTTACATCATAATTTACATATCTTTATATAGAAGGGACAACTATAAAAGTAGATTTTTTCTTAAGATATATACAGTTACTTCATAATTTACATATCTTTATAATGAAGGAACAACTAGAAGTAGATTTTTTTCTTAATAAATATGCATATACTTCAAAACTTACATATCTTTATATAGAAGGGACAACTAGAAGTAGATTTTTTCTTAAGATATATACACTTACATCATAATTTACATATCTTTATAATGAAGGGACAACTAGAAGTAGTTTTTTTCTTAATAAATATGCATATACTTCATAACATACATATCTTTATATAGAAGAGACAACTAGAAGTAGATTTTTTCTTATGAAATATGCATATACTTCATAACTTACATATCTTTATATAGAAGGGACAACTAGAAGAAGATTTTTTCTTAAGATATATGCACTTACATCATAATTTACATATCTTTATATAGAAAGGACAACTAGAAATAGATTTTTTTCTTATTAAATATGCATTTACTTCATAATTTACATATCTTTATATAGAAGGGACAACTGGAAGTAGATTTTTTTCTTAAGAAATATGCACTTACTTCATAATTTACATATCTTTACAGAGAAGAAATAACTAGAAGTAGATTTTTCCTTAAGAAATATGCTATCATGAAGTAAGATTTTCCTTGTAATTCCTTTTAACAAAAAATCTACAAATACTATTCACTTAATCACGTATTAATAGCTTAGAAACATACACAAAAAATAATCCGACAAAGTATATTTGAAGCACGAACTCTGACCTTTCCAAAAACATAAAATAAAACAAACTTCTCTTCATTTTTATGAATCCATTAATAAACACTAATATCGCATTGAAATCGTTATCTAAATTATTACACAGTTGAAATACGCAAACAAATTTATTAATAAACTCGACCGTCTATAAATAGAAAAACAGTTTCATAACTTCAACAAGATAAATCCGAATGTTTTCATAATTTTATTCTTATTAATTTATGCATACGATGATGGCATTTCGAATTGAATCATTCTTGTATGTGTGTGTTTTTTTTGTGTGTTCGTGTTGAATATTATTTAAAGAAAGAGAACGAAGAAATCTGTGAAGTGAGTAATTCGTTTTGTTTAACGTCCAGATAATAATATTTACAATATGCGTTTATTGATGACTACTCACAACATCGTCTGATAAAAACATACCGCACGTAACGTTGCGCATTGCTCCAAATAATAATAAATAAAAGAAAAGAAAGAAACAACAATGGAATTCAAGTCGATTTGTAATTAATGTTGTTTTTTTTATATAATTTATTGTTATTAATTTCTTGATGTTAATAATGTTTGCTATTGTTACTATTGTTTTCTTGTTGACTAGTTCGATCATTCTGTGGTGTAATTGAGAATATCGTTTCATAATCGGATTGGAATTTATAAAAATCGATTGAGCAACTATAATTATTATGTACAATAGTTACGTTATTAACAAAGAGAATTGCAACAAAGAATTCGTATTCTCGTATACAGAAAGAACACGACTTCAATTTTTATTATTTTCTAGAAAAATCTATAACTTGTCGTTTTTTTAACAAATATATTTTTTTTTGTCTACATTATTAATTCTATAAATGTCTCAAAATATACATGATTTGCAATAAATTTTATTATATTATCCAATATTTTTTGTAATTAATTTGCAGAACAATCTAGAAATTAAGTTTTTGTTTCTATTTAAGCAAATATTGGACATTTTTTGACTAATTTTTGTCGTATCTGATTCAAATTTACATTATTACAAAGAACACGATTTCAATTAATTATTTAACATCAATTCTGTATTTTTTCTATAGAATTACGTTTTTTCTTCTATTTCTGAAATTATCGGACAATATTTGTAATAAATTGATTAATTCATTTACAGAACAATCTAGAAATTATTTTTTTACAAAGAACACGATTTCAATTAATTATATAACATTAATTCGTTTTTATATTCTATTTCAAAAAATTATCAAATATTATTTCTAATAGATTGATTATTTTTGTAGAAATATCAATGACTTTAGTTTATTTTATTTTTTTTAATTTAATTACTAAATTACATTGATTTTTATTTAATAATTTGTAAATTTAGTTTTATTTCAATTTTTAACCAAATTTGAATGGAAATTTGTAAAAAAAATACTTATGAAAATTAATGAATTGTGTAATGTTTTAAATAATTACTTATATTATCAATATAAAAAGAAGTCTAATTAATGAATAAGTTAATAAATGAAGACTTTTTGGGATTTATAAAATTCTTAAATAATTTATGTTTGAAATTTAAATTAATAAGTTTGGGACAAATATCTTTTTTATTAAATATGAAACAAAATTTGTTTTATTTTTTTAAACAATTTAATGGAAATATACAAAATAAACACCAATTTGTTACAAATATTATTTTATAAAATTAACGTATAATTATTACATTACATAAATATACTATTAACTTATCATGCTAAAACGAAACAGTTGTTACTGTACATTAATAAGAAAAAAAATCAGTAAATAATGATTTTAAAACTTTCCGATTTCCTTGAAGTAGTTAATAATATATAATAGAACCCAAATAAGTGTTTATAAGGAATTGAAAGGAATTGAGATTAGTATAGAATTCGTGTAATTTTCTTTGTTTTTGGAAAAAACGAACACGCGAGGCAAGTTGATGATAAAATAATTGTCGGTCTTCGTATTTCGAATTGAATGTAAACTGACGGTTCAGAAAGGTAAAGAAAGGGATGGAAAATCTTCTAAAGATCCTCTTATAACCAGGTAGATTTCAATCCAATCCTCATTATAAAATCGTAACGAATTACTAAAAGATTCGGTAAATAATGTCGATTAAATCAAAGTTTTCAGAAATTTTTAAATAAATAAAAATTTTCTTTTAATCTGATTATATAATATTAACACATATGTAACTGTATGATGGGATATGTTAAATTTTCACATATTGCTCAATTGTTAGGAAAACAAAGAAGAAATCTTTAACTCTTTAATAAATTGAATTTCCATTTGCACAAATTTCCCAATTGAAGAAAAATTATAGCAAATAGAATAAGAAATTTGGTTTTCTGCTTTCGAATTTAATGTAAATTCAAAGTTAAAAAAAAAAGGTGGAAATGTTCTATGTTCAGGTATATTTCTATCCAATCCTCATCGTAACGAATTACTAAAAGATGTGGTAAATAATGTTGGTTAAATCAATATAAAAAGCTCTGAGAAATTGATAATTTTTTTTTAATTAAACGAATTAAATTGTCTCTTAATTGATGATTAAAACTTTAATGATGTAGATTTAATTAATATACAAATATCTGTTAATTTTTTTTACAAATTTCTCAATTGACGGAAAGCTTCTAAATAAAATATGCGAAAAATAATGTCGGTTAAATCAAAATTTTGAGAAATTGAAGGTTTTTTTTTAAATAAATTTAATTTTTCTTTAAATCTGATTAAATTTATATTAAAGCAAATAAAACTATATTTTAATTAACGTTTACAAATTTAATGATATCGGTTTAATTATTATACAAATTTGTAAAATTATTGCTTTTATTTGTTAATAAATTAAATTATTTTTTAATATGGAATTGCTTTCATTGATTTTCATTGGTTGAAGGTCTGGAGCGTTGACCCAAAACGAGTTGCTTCGAACCTCCGGTCAATAAAATATGTACGTAATTGCCGTAGATATAAATAAAGTAAAGTTTGCTGCAAATTAATATAATTATTCTTTTGAGCTTCATTTTTTATCGTGAATGTCGGCCGCCTCTAAAAGAGCTGAGATTATTATTATTAAGTCCATATTTCGTTTCGTATACACTACCCATATTTCCACGATTTGCATTCAATTACGGTCCGAGAACGCATTAAATTCTATTCATATGGAATGTTAAATGATTCTCGCTACCTGCGTAAACCTGTCCACAAAGAACGTAAATAATGCTTTGTCTTCTTGTTTTCTAGGCACTCCGAGGATCTTCGTGTGTAGGGTCGAGGTGCCCTTCGTCGTCCAAAAACATCCGACGCAAGGGGACCTCAGGTTCACCTTATACCCAATTGGATTGGCCTTAAGTGCGGTTTTCTTGGCTGCGACTCTAGTTGCAGGATCTCTGCTTCCTGCGAGCCATCACGTCCTGCATTGGAGATGCCAGACGAACCATGTGGCGTGTCTTCTCCTAGGAGACGTCCTCCTCTGCATAGTTCAACTGTCAGCAGATACTATGAGTTACACACCGTGCTTTATCATAGGTAAGTTTCAACCAAACAAAAACAAGTTAAATTTCAATTTTCATAAATTTCCCAATTGACAAAACTTTCATGTTTTACAAATTTTCGAATTGACGAAAAAACAAATCAAATATCTTTATACCAATTATAAGTTGAATTTCTATTTTCACAAATTGATCCATTTTCACCAATTGATAAGAAAACAACGAAAAAATCTCAATTTTTTAACAAATTGAATTTTCATTTACACAAAATTGATGTAAAAATAAAAACTTAAATACTACGAATTTCCAATTTCACAAATTAATGAAAAAACAACGACAAAATCTTAATTCTTTAATAAAATTCCATTCTCACAAGTTTCCCAAATGAAGAAAAAAGCAACGAAAAACTCTTAATTCTTTAATAAATTGATTTTCTATTTCACAATTGGGAAAAGCAACGTAAAACTCTTAATTCTTTAATCGATCAAATTTCTATTTATACAAATTTCTCAATTGACAATGCAAAAATCATAATAATATAATAACTTGAATTTATAATTTCACAAATTTCTAAATTAATGGAAAAACAACGAGAAAATCTCAATTCTTTAATAAATCGATTTTTTATGTTCACAAATTTCCCAATTGAAGCAAATATTTTAATACAACAATGAGATAAATTTTCTATTTCCAAAGTGACGAAAAACAATGAAGAAATCTTAATTCTTTAATAAATTAAATTTCCATTTTTACAAATTTATAAATTGACGAATAAATCTTAATTCTTTAGTTAAATTTTACTATTTTCCTAATCGATTTGATTTTTTCCAACGAAAAAATAAGATTTTCATTATTAAATTGAATTCTCATTTTCACAAATTTCCGAAAAAAACAAAGCAAATATTTTCATACTAGAATAAGATCAAATTTCAAAAATTTGATTATTCCTAAAGATTTCCCAATGCAAATACTTTAATCTAACATTAAGTTAAATTTCCATTATCAAATCGATGAAAACGCGACGTCTTTATTGCACCAGTTTATTTAGTTTTTTATATCAACAATTCCAGCCATCCCACATACGCTTTTATCCGAAGCGTTTATAATTAATTAAAACCCATTCGATGTTATCCCCCTACTTTAATTAACTGGAAATAATCAGTGCGCTAAATAATGCATTTCCTAATGGTAAACCGCTTCTCGTCTTACCATCGTTTTCCTCGTTTAGAAAACGCATAATGGACTTCGTGATGATAAAGCATTGGAGTTTATATAGGAGATGGTTTATAGTTTCGGCGCTAAACAAGAAATTAGATGGTAATTAATTATTAGCTGTTAATTATAAATGATTAACGATCCAACATTACACGTGCATTTATCAAGTACAAAAACTATTACTCATAATTCCTTAACTTCTGCACTTTATTTTCAATATTTGAATCATGATCATAATTGCATAATTGACACGTTTAATAAAATTGTAAAAAAAAATCTTAAAACCAATAGTAATTATTGTATTATTGTAAATATTTGGTGTGAATTTAATTGATTGATTGATACATAAACATCAATTAGCTTAAATATAATTGACTTATTCAAATTGAATCACTTGGTTTGTGTCAATTGGACGAATCACAGCGGCAAGACCCGAATATTGCGTACACTAAACATACTCATCATTTATAAGCTCGCATTAATCGTAATTCATTGTTTCGTTAATGTTCTTTGAGAGATAGAAAGAAAGAAAGATTGGCTCTCTCCTCCATTAGATGTTTCTAAAAGGTTCGGTCCATTAATTGGCTGCAAAGTATCGTCTGCTAACTGTTCTTCCACAGATATATATGTGTATAGGCGCGAGTGATGAAGTAGACTCATACGCTAGTAATCAGCATAGCCGGAGAGGCTTATAAATCTTGACGCAACGGATGGAAAGAGGAAGAAGCAAAACGAAGAGAGGATTTACAATCTTAAGAAATGTGTTATACACGCATAACAATAAAATTTATTCATTTCGTTTTTTTATAAATAAATAAACAAATAAATTTTGTCACTTTTTTGAGTTTAAATGCACGAAGATTACAATAATTTGGAGATAAATCGAAATCCCGACAACTGTATCTTACTGTATTTTAGATTATTTCTTATAGTTAAAGTTTATTATGAATATGGCTATATCATATAATAAATGATACTGTCGGTATTATGTTTGTCGGGTTTTTGATTGTCGAGATTTTGATACTGTAGGGATTATACTTGTCGGTATTTCGAATGTCAGGAATTTGATTGTCAGGTTTTCGATATAGAATGAACGGGTCTATATCGCAAGCCCGACAACCTGTATCGAAATCCCGACTGTATTAAAGTCTCGACGCTTGAAATCCCGACTATGTCAAAATCCCGACTACCATAATCCCAACAATCAAAATATCGACTATATCGAAATCCCGACTACCATAAAAATGTTATTGTAGAAATTTATAATAATATTTTGAGCGAGCCGTGATTTCGAACATCGGGATTTTGATACACTCGGGATTTCGATAGACGGGATTTCGATATAGTCGAGAATTTGATTGCCACTGCGTATGAAAGTACCGTTCATAAGCAATGACTCATCTCTTGCATTTCAATTTTAATTTTTTAAATTCCCCGCGCTTTTTAAACTACGTCAAACATCCTCTGCACATGTTCTTGTTTTCTTTCTCCTGTCATAAAATGAGAGGGTGTCTTTTCGTTGGAGCTCAGATTTCATTGGTAAAACGATCCTCTCCGGGTTGTCTCGTGAGGATCGTTAAGTCCAGGAGCTCACTGCACCCTCTACTTTTTTTAATTCTTTAGTGGCTAGACTATTCCTAAAAATTACGTGCATATAAATGTCGTAATCTTAATGGTTACAAGATGCTCGTGACTAATACCGTTTTTCCTGCTCACCATTATCTGAAAGGGATTCCGAGGAATGTTCGTTTCAACCCTCCAAAAAAAAAGCTTTTAAATTTTATTTCATTCTACGCTTGAAGAAGAAAAATAAGTATAAATTTCCTTACTTTTTTTTAAATCGAACATTTAATAGACAATAAACACTACAATTTATGTTGCTTTCAACAATTTCACTTACATCTACAATTAATTAGTTTACGAGATTTTTAGTTATATAATTTATTACAATTTGATTAATATTTATCTGTAAAAAAAATACACAAATCTTCAAATCAAAAATTTCCTTTTGTTTTTTAAATGATTAACTTCAAATTAATTTTTATTTATTTCTCTATTCATAATTACAAATATGTAATTAATTAATTTTGATCTGTAATTAATAAATAATTAAAAATGTAATAATTACAATTATTGTTGATAAATCTTCAAATTGGACAAGCAGAAAATGTACCAATTTTTAAAGAATTGAAACTAGTTTTTGTGGTTTTTATTTATTTCTTTATTTTGAATTACAAATGTATAATTAATAAATTTTTGTTATTTTTGTTTCTCACGGTCAAAAATATTTGATTATTACCAGAATGTAGCAGTTTGTAAATAGTGAACAAAGCTTAATAAACACAAAAAATTGTAATAAATATTAAAATAAAGACATTCTGCGAAATGCATAAATCACATTGCTTAAGCACGTAAAGTTTGCCAAAATTTCAAACATTTAAGCTTACTACTAAGTTAGTTTACGAGTCGTTTATGCATATTTCTAAACAAATACTCTCCTACGTACATTTTTCTTCTTTTCCTTTCAACCATAACTTCATTACTAAAAATAGAAAAACTCAATATGTTATTTTTTTCTACTTCTTCCATAACAATTCTATTTGGTTTGTTCGCTAAGATGATTCAGATTCTTAATATAAATATATATTTTTTTATATATATTTCAAGAATTTACGCGTCGTTTATTTTCGTTTGCAGTGTCAACGATTTGTTTCTTTTTTTCCCAAGGAAATCCGGTAAAGAAATGTGCAAATTACGGAATTTCAATGTAAGAAAATATCAAAAGAAAAACTGATATTGCAACACGATTTTTGCTTACGTCCGCACACGTAACTTAAGAATTGCGTAAATGAGATTTCAATTAAGAAATGCGTTAAGTAAATAAACACCGAATGTCTCCAAAAAAAAACGAAACGATATAATTACAACATCAAATCTATTTTCAAAAATTGATCTCGCAATCAAAAATGTTTAGTTTCAAATTTCTATTATTTTATATATAAAATGAATAAAAGATGTATTATCAATCAAAATTTATTATTTAATTTTCATTATTTGCTTATATCATTTAGACTAAGTTGTTAGATAATTCATAATTCAAGAAGTTAACATAAACAGGGATTACGGTTTGAAAGCTGGGATTAGAGTGATGTTGAAGTGATTTAGATTATAAAGAAATCTATTATACAGTGATGATTCCCATCTTAGCTTATTCTATTTTTTTTTTGAAGAGAGTTGATAACGTAATGGCTTAATCTCTTTCTCTTTACTCACTCGACGAAGCCTAATGTAAATCATCATAAATAAGCTGGATCAAATGGATCGAGGAGGAGAAGATGTAGGAAGACATCAAGGTATGCAGGATGCTCGTGCTTCTGATGCAATAAGTTGTAAATTGGTTTGGTTTTCCTAATCAAAAGCCATTTGCAGCCAGTATAATTGGTTCAATATTTAATGGGTTTTGGTTGAAGAGGAGAGAAAGGTGAGAGAGGATGGAGAAGAGAGGAGACACTCACAGCTTACAAGGAAATAATTACGGATTATGACATGAACAGTAGCAGATGCCAATTTGCTACGGCAATGTGTGTTACGGTGCAATTATTTATCGAACGACTATTTATACTTGGTGCAAGCATGTACAAGTACACTAATCGCCGCTTTAGATTAGGTCAAGTTCTGTTCGTACAATACAGGAAGAGCTTCTATTCTTTTTTTTTTCTTCAAATTTATTATCGAAACAAGACAATAACGATTACTTCTTTTCTTTAAATAACATTTACATAATCAGAGGAAATAATTCAATCTTAATCTTAAGCCAACGTA